GCACTGAAAATGACGAAACACTATCGTTCAAAACGAATAAATTTAAAGTGGTCTTCCAACCCTTCGGGGAAGCATACCTTACGTCCTCAGGAGGTCTCTCCTGAATTATGGCAGACCCTTACCCGATGCATTGGAAACCCATGGCGCAATTATTGTAGCACCCATCGGAACGACAAGATCTTGTATTCTGTATATTGCATTTGTATTTCTTGATATCTTTTGTATCTTCTGGTATATGTATACCAAGAGGTTTCTTGCCTTCCAGGGATGTACCAATTTGGAATTCCCAAAATCACCTCGTCCTGCATTTGTGACTGTGCTGGAGGTGACACGCCATGTAAGATGAACGAATACAATTATCGGTAAGTCCCCTCAGTGGACGTCGTCATTGTGTTGTATTCAGAACCAGGAATTCTCATTCAGGAACTGCTCATCAGGTGCTCTTTGCTACCGAACTTACCATCCGGTACAGTCGAATGTCGGTTGTCTCAGCGAGCAGAAAAGCGAAGCATGCTGTCAGCTGCGGATCGAACCGTTCAAGGACTGGATATTCACAGCCATCAAAATCAATCAGCCATCTACAGTACTTGTTTTCAGGTAAAGCCCAGATTATTTCTCGGAATATTTGAGAGCTGTTACCGTAGAAATGGATGTGAGGTAGTGGGACGAATTGGTGTGGTGGCACCAATTCCTCCCACACGAGGTCGCTTCACGCGCGCTATGCGAGGTTCAAACTCCTGAGTGGATTGTAACCGGGCTAACCAAAAGTTTTACCCCTCCGGAATCCGTTATTCGTTACCACACTCACGTGGGCGGAGAAACATCGACTTTCTCTTCGGCTTTCCTCGGAACATAGAAGTGATCGCATTCAAATGCTTGTGAGACTCTATACGGAAGTCGAATCCATGGCGCAACCCAGAAGGGTTGATGGAAGTGAAACGCCTATCACTTTGATGATTTTCAGGTATAACATTTACGACCGCTTCAATAACCGATGGCGGAAAGCCTCTGAAGAGGTGGTCGAAGTGCCGATGAATCGTGGCATTTTCAAGTTCGACTTCAACAACGTGCAAAAAATCGAAATGGTTGTCTCAGGAAGTCGTCCGAATAGAGAAGTTCAGCCAGGAATGTACTTCTTCAGAGAAGGTAATGGATTTTTGATTTTGGGCATAGCTGCATACCTAAATGTGGTGTTTTTCACAGGAACACATGAACTACGAGGGTTTGTACCTATCAATGACATCGGCGAGAGCAGTTTGGAGAAGCTCGGTTGGATGCGGTACGCAGATGGAAAATGGGACATCCGAAATGGTCTGGTCAAAATCAAACAGGCACATGTGAGTTTGTCATCAGTTTCATTTATTTCTCACCATTTGCCCCGATGTTTCTCCTTTTGATCTCGAATGTGTAGCTCATTTGCTGGCCGCGCACCGCGCCAGTTTCCGCTGCTTGCTCACATGGCATGGCGCGGTATGGCTACGCGGTGATTTTGGCCACCATTAGGACTATGTCCCGCGTGGCGTGTGGCGAGCAGTCGCTACACATCCACTGGTCCCGGTTCCTCTGTATAACATCACTTCGATTTCCGTCACATACCCTCACTGTCTTGCTAACTTTCCAAGGGTTTAATTTTCCTTTTTAGCGGGTCACAGCTGAATTTAATTGAGTGAACCTCTTATTCTAGAGAAAAGCATAGCATAGCATCACGTGTACTTAAAGGCACACTCCACGAACAATTTGATAAGCTTACACTGAAAATGAAAGCGAGCGAAGTGAGTAGTGAGTAGAGAGTGGTGAGCGAAATGGACCGTCGGTGAAGAAAAAAGGGGAAAATATAAAAAGTAGAAATAGAGGCTTCTGTAAGGTGTGGACTGTTCTGGAGGATAGTCAGCAAGAAAAGAGATGCTGGGCCAGTGAGACGGGATGGACCTGAGATGAGAGCATGGATGCGAGCGAGGGCGGCTTTGACCTTCGCCGTCAGCTACTGGACGACCACTGGTGCTGAGTGGAGACCCGTGTGTATTCTTGAGCGTGAACTCCTCTGTCGGGCGATTTCCTGCGGCCAACCCAGATATACTGCATGGTGCTGGTCGCTCTACCTTTCTCGCGCTGGAGCTTACATAAGTGATCTAATCGTGAACTCCTTTAAAGGAGGAATTCACGATTAGAATGAAGGTCGAAGAAAGGGAAACTGACCTAGTTGAGGGACCCACGGACCTCCTGAGGGTGCGAACTGACGCGCAATTCGCATGGAAAAATTTGACCTCGGCGACCTATCATG